TATTAGGATTCCAATATAAGTGACTTGATATTTTTCTCTTGCTGTTTTTACAATTATTTTTTTTTAACTATAGATAGTTTGACTACAATGTGTCTTGGCAATGACCTATTTGGGTTGAATCCACTTGGGGACCTTGGAGCTCCCTGGATTTTGATACTCACGTCTTTCCCAAGGTTAGGGAAGTTTTCTGCTATTATTTCTATCAGTAAGTTTTCAATATCTTTTTGTTTTCCTCTTCTTCTGTAATTAACATAATTAGAATATTTGTTTGCTTGATAGTATCCCATACAAATACTTCTCTGTCATAAAAATGAATGAAATACTACCATTTGCAACAACATGGATGAACCTGGAGAAACTTATGTTGAACAAAACAAGCAAAGCACAGAGGCATAAATACCACATGTGCTCACTCATATGTGAGAGCTAAGAGAGAAAGGAAGGAAGGAAAGAAAGACCACAGCAGTGCCATGGTCTAACAGAGGGAGGGAACATTCCTAGGGCTACAAATAGGAGTGGAGGGGAGAGGGGGACAGGAAGGGAGATTGGGGGATAATTAGGAGGGGATAAAGGGTACAAAAGTAATTTCTGGTAATGGATATGAACCCAGTATGAATCTGGCCCTCACATCATGGGCAGGAGGGGGGACAATTAGCTTTGTATCTCATGAATATTCTTAATAATAAAAAAAAATAGTATCCCATAGATCTTGTAAGCTTTGTTTGTTCTTTTTTTTATTCTTTTTTTTTTTGTCTTCCTGTGTTATTTCAAAACTACTATCTTCAGGATCAGAAATTCCAGAAATAATTCTGCTGATCTAGTTGATGTTTAGACTCTCAGATGTATTTTTTTATTTCGTCCAATAAATTCTTCAATTCTAAAAGACTTCTACATGATTTTTGAATTTCTTATTCAGATCATGAATTGTTTTCTGATTTTTTTGGTTTGTCTACATTCTCTTGTATCTCAGTGAGTTTCCCTAAGATCATTAATTTGAATTCCTTTCACAGCAAGTTGGCAATTTCCGAATCTTTGGGATCAATTACTGGAACATTATTTTGGTTTTTTGGTGGTGGTATGTTACCTTGTTTTTTCATGTTTCTTGTTTCCCTGCATTGACATCTGCGTATCTGGTGGGACAGTCAGCTTTTTGAGTTTTGTGGGGTGGCTGGCATAGGAAAAGAATTTCACCTGCACATGCATCCTAGAACGTCAGTTGGGTAGATTGCAATGGCTTTGCTCCATATAGACACAGTAGTGTAGACTCTGCAT